GTTCTGTAAGGTTCTAAGACTTTAAGAGAGTTGCTGTAATATAGGGGCCTTCATGGCAAGAATAGCTTTTGCTGTCTCCGAGGTTTTATAGGGGTCGAAGGGGGAATATATGACCCCAAATATTTAGGAAAGGAATTTTGGGGTAGATTGATTATACTATCAGTTCATGTAGGCCACTCTATAGGGCTGTAGGGATTGCACAGCTTTATGATCCTGTGACTTCTGCTGCTTGTGATAGCGTGACAACTACCGTGATGAAGGTGTTCTCGATTCGCTTTGAATCGGTGGCTCGCTGTGACAGCAGAAGGCAAGAAAGCCCCTAAACACTACGTGAGAAACCTTGCAGAACCGTGTACCCTCATAGAATGCCCATACAGAATTTCACGACTGGACCGAACGAACAATCATGCTTGAGGCCCTTCGCGCGGCCGTGTGTCAATTTTGATTATGCTGCTATTGCTGCTTCTGCTTACATGGACACTACTGCACATAATACTCCTGCTTGTACGATAGCTATCATTCTTGCTTCTTCAATCATCTGTTTAGTTCACGTGGTTACTAACACTGTTGGCAACATCGTTCATACTCTAACACCGTTGATGACCCTAATCAGTTTAATGGCTGGAACACCGTTGAAACTACTGGCATGACAAAACGTCGGAATCCTGCTGACTATCACCACTCCAGTGATGGCAGCGATCAGCATGGCCATGGTGATGGTTATGATGAAGACGCTGATTGACAAGCGTGGATGAACAAGAATACAATGAAAGTCAGGATTGCGCTATGCGGTTTTCTAAGTGGTAGTAGTAGTAGTAGTAGTAGTAGTAGTAGTAGTCGTAGTCGGCAGCAGCAGCAGGAGGAGCAGGAGGAGGAGTAGTAGCAGTAGTCGTCGCCGTCGATGTAGCAATCGTAGCGGTAGTGACCGGTAGTGGTGGTAGTAGTAGTCGTCGTCGGCCTTGACCGTGATTGCACACTGCAAACTCTCGAGGCACCGACTTCTTGAATTGCTTAATTGATCCAATAGACAAACGCACATTTCTTGGTGGCCCTCAAGGTCTCTAGGCACAAGGCCGAAGTCCAGGAGCTTCAGGTGGCCGCTGGCCGTGAGGATCATGTTGTCGAACTGCAGACATTTAGGGTTTAGGGTTTAGTGCACCCAGTTCGCGCTGCCTTGCTTCCAAACCTCTGCGACTATTTGCAATCTTGACCTAGCTTCTGATGAATGTCGATGCTCATTTCCTCGTTGTCTCAGTCCATGCTTGCTCCGTCTTGCGTTTGCCAAGCTTGCTCAAGTTCGGGAGGCTTCATGTTTCTGGCACAACAGGAAGTGCATAGTCAGTCGATCAGGTGTTTGCTCTTGACGGCTGTCCCCGTTGGTTTGACTGTAAATCCTGAAAAATGTCTCAAACCCTATAGCTGAAGCCATGAGCCAAGAACTCAAAGCCAAGCAACCGAATACGTTTCCTGCGGCTGTCCAAATCTACGAGATTCAGAACTCTGGATGCAAGCAGTTGATGCGGCATGTAGCTGAATGAGCACATGCCCTTCTGCACATCTACAGACCTTAAGCCCGTCAAAGACAAAGCACGGAGGGGCGGGTCTGTTGGCCCCCGCTTATAAAGGCTCTCCATGCCTTCACATCGCGGTGGATGAAGCCATGACGATGGAGCACATCCAGTGCCTGTGGAAGTCGGAGATATATATATATACACACTTACACATATATATATATATACATACATATATATATATACATGTATATATATATATATTAATGTTTGGTGAGACTGTCGCTGAAGTAAGGGGGTCCGATACACCACCATCGTGCCAGGTATGCCACGCTACATACTGCCGCAATCGATTGCGGTCTGCCCTTGGCTGAACTCTCGGAGCCCTGAACTCCACAAACCCCCATCCCAGACCACCGGACCTGAAACAGCCGAAAAGATGAACCAACAATAGGGTAGGGTTTTGGGGTATATTCTAGAACCCCTAAACCCTAAACCCTTTAGTATAGCTATCAGGAATCCCTAGGGACTTACATCGGTAATTGTAAGAAGAGAGCTTCCGACAACTTTGGCTTCTTGTAGGTTGGAGGCTTAGGCCCGAGGGTGAAGCCTTGATGACCAGAACAGGATTTTGGGGTCTAGGGTTTAAGGTTTAGGATTTACGCTATAAGGGTTTAGGGTTTAAGGTTCAGAGTTTAGGGTTTAGGGTTTAGGGTCTAGGGTTTGAGGTTCAGGGGTTAGGTCTTAAGGTTGAAGGACCTATCGATCTGTCTATCAATATTTGTCTGGCGGGGGCTATAGGTCTTCCAGCTGTTTACGCTCGGGACTTCCGGCATCGAGGTTCTATCTTTCGAAGGCTCTAGCTCTAGGATCCTGGACCACAGCCCCTGAACCCCAAATCCTGAAAACCCGGAACCCCAAAACTCCAAAACCTTAAACCCCAAAGCCCCGAAAAGCCCTGAACCCCAAAACCCTAAACCCCAAGCCCTAAACCCTAAACCCAAAGCCCTGAACCCTCAGCCCAAAACCCTAAAAAACACGACTCCAGGGCTTTGCAGTTTCGGAGCTTCGCCTCCAGGAGCTCGGCCATGTAGAATCGAGTCTCATCCTCGGGCTGCAAGGGTTGGTCAAGGTAGGATCGCGGCTTAGGGTCTGAGGGTCTTCGGGCTTTTTAAGCTTTTTAAGGGTTTATAGGGCTTATAGGGCTTATAGGGTTTATAAGGTTTAGGGTTTAGGGTTTATGCCACATTCCTATGGCAGATTCCCAAGCGCCAGAAGCCTACACACCCTGATCCCCCACCTCTCAGGTCGGGGCAGCAGAAAAGCGGTTCTTCACCTCGATCCATTTAAAGAGGTCGCCGCCAGGAAGAAATCTGGCATGCTGGCCATCTTAAGCACGGTCTCTAGGCTTCCCTTCTGAGTCGTTACGAGATGTCACGAGTATAGTTCCTTCGAGTTCCTTATTCACTGTGGCCTTCAGTATCATATGTCCCAAACACACCCATAGCCCAAACCCGATATGAGGACCTCAGGGGCTTGGGGTTCAATTGCAATGTAGCATCGCCAAGAAATCAGGAGCAAGAGTCATGAGCAGAGCAACGATGACACACACACACACATAACCCAAGAGTGCCATGAGCATGCAAACACGATAGGGGTTTAGGGTTTAGGGTTCCCAGATGTTTGGCTTTTGAGATGTATTTCGACTTGTTTAGTCTAGGGCCTGGCTTCATGCAACCGCCCTGTTTGCAGGTCTCTCAATCTCGTCAGCATCGCTCCATCAGCATGTAGATGTGGTTGGTGTCCTGGAAGCTGCGTCGGTTGCAAAGTCTGTTTTGGGGATCGGGCGTCTTGGGGCGAGGCCGTCGGACGAGGATATGCAGCTGTCTGAACATCTATGAAGGAGATTGCTGCACTTTAAACTGCGGGTAGTCATCTGTTGAGCAGAGGAGCAGCCTGGTCCAACCTTACTGCCACCCGAAACCCTAAAGCCTCGCGGCTGGTAGCTGGTGCCAAAGGCTCTATGAGTCAGGACTCTCACTCCTGGCATGAAATGAGAGTTTAAGAAAATAAGCAAACCCTGGTACAGACCCTGATTGAGGTAGAGGGTCCGAAAAAATCATGACCCCAAGTTTACTGAGGTAACGCTGCTGTTGAGACAAAGGTCCACAGTCCCTTGGAGAAGCTTTCCTATAGATTGGACTTCGCACATCTGCTGCTGCTGCTGCCGCCTGGAAAGTGGCGAACAGCTCCACGAACCACCTTCCGCCAGTGTTTCGGGTTCTGCCACACAGCCAAAACCGGAGCAATCATAATGCCGACATTCTGGAAAGACTGAGTATATTATCGTACCGCCCTAATTTCTGGATTTGGCTACTTCTCGAAGCAGTCACTTTCTTACCCTGAAACGCTGATGAATACCCATTCATTCATGCAAGTGCGAAACAGCCGAACAAATCTCGGAGTCTTCGACTACTCTCAGTAGCTCAAGCATGGAGACCCCAAACCTCGACCTACATGCTGCGATCCCGAAATCCCTAAACTCCTAGCATAAACTACAGTAACTACAGAAACCATGCCGGCCTGTTCCGAGCCTGTGCCAGGACATCTCGCCTGCATGGAAAGAAGCTTTGGAGGCACGAAACAGCGTAATCACCAGCTCGTTCGTGAGGGTCATCGCTTTTATTATCGTCCTCATGTCTCTGTGTGTGTGAGAGAGAGAGAGAGAGAGAGCATGTGTTTGTGTGTCTGTGTGTGCGTGCGTGTGCTTAAGTGTGTGTGTGTGTGTGTATATATATATATATACATATGCAGATATGTGTGTGTGTGTGATGGTTGCAGTTGCAGCACAAGCTACCAAGGATTAGCTTGCCGGTCGATGAGCGAGAGACGATCTGACTCGATGGAAAACTACGAGGCTGAGTGACCGGAGGACGTAGATGCCCAATTAACCAATCTATCGAACGATCAATCAATCAATCCACCAATCCATCAATCGATCAACCTGCCTGCCCCTTTAGCTATATCTATCTATATCTATCTTTGACACTATCTTTATCTCTATCTAACCAGTGATCTATCTATCTAACCAGCCATCCATCCTTCAATACAATCAACCCATCAAATCGTCAATCGATCTAACCATCTATCTGACTTTCTATGTATTCGCCTGCTCACCTACCTACCTATCTCCCTATCCACCTATCGATCTATCTATCTATCCATCTATCTACCTATCTACCCACCTTTTCACTTACCTATCTACTTACCTACCTGTTTATCTATCCACCTACCTAATCTACTTGAGATCTGGGCTACGGAAGCTAGGTCAAGGTCGGAACAGCAACGCCAATCTGCACTTGCTTACTCAGCTCATCCCTGATTTACGGGTCTATGCCCGTGACGCCTCTAGAAATTGCTCTAGATGCGTCTTCGTGGTGCTAGCCGTCTACCATGGCATAAAATGCAAGCGAGCTCTGAGCGAGGGGCTCGTTGTAGACGCCCTTCTTGATGTTCTTCTTGGCATGCCTGCACAGAGACGCCAAAGCTGAGGCTTTCGGAAATGTCCAGGAACTCCATAGGCCGAATGTAACCGCTCTGCAAGGACAAGACGACCCCAAAAAGGTCCAAAGCGGACCCTTCTCAGCGAGCAAGTTGTCTGAAAAGAGCCACTCCGGTCATCGAGATGCACCAAAGTCTGCGTCTGCGCCTCTGCTTTGTCATTTGCTTCAGTGCGAAGTACCTGTCCGGAGAGTTGAAAGGGGTTTATGCCTGTGACACTTCGCTGATCCAGTCGAACATCCTCCTGAAGAGTAAATGCTTACCACTCTTTAAACCCTAGATCCTAAATTTCAGCACATCTCAACAACCGAACGCTTCACAAGCTGACTGTGCGGAAGAAGGCGCTTCAACAAGCAACATGCTCAGGAGGGATCTCGCAGCTCGAGCTGATAAGGTAACAGTCAGACGGAACGGTTTCACACACCTAGCCCTGTAAACATTCATGGGCTTTGGCTGGGACCTCACCCCAAACACCTTAAGGACTCTCTTCCTAAACCCTAAACTCTAAACCCTAAACCCAAAACCCTGCCGCAGTCCCTGGGCTCACTGAGGCGATGGGGAGTCCTTCAAGCTCACGAGGAAGACCGTGCCGAAGGCACCCTGGGCACTGTCGGCTGAAACGGAGCTGTGGAAGCTACTTGAAGGGTTCAGGGTACGCAGCATTTTGGTGGGTTTGCACCTTGTTAAAGAGGTTTTGCGTGTGACTCTGCTTTTCACCTATGTACCTACCAAGTCCCGTCATCCTCCAAGTAGCGCAAGACCTGCTCCACAAGCAGAGCTGTGGATGCGCTAGCTCCAGTGAAGACATGTAGCAAGTATCCCGAAGGAGAGAACCTTATGTGAAGGAACCTGCAAATGCTGATTTTGTCCACTCAGACTTTCAGGAAGTCCCGTGTTGCAGTCGCCACGGGCTACCAGCCGCATCGCAAGCCCTAAACCCAAAATCACAACACTTCCAAGACATAGCCTTTCCATCCTAGACTCTCTTCATTCTCTACTCCAAAACCAACACCTCAAGACACTAGCTTCATCGTGCTATACCTGCTGCCTTCAGCCCTGCTGCCTAAGCCCCGAAACCTACTTCCGTTTTTTCCTCGGTTCTTTGGAACCATGTGTACGCAAGCTTATATATATATATATAGAGAGAGAGAGAGAGAGAGAGAGAGAGAGCGAGAGAGAGAGAGTGATGATCGTAGATGTACGTACGCAGGTAGTGTTGTTTAACGGCTCTGTACCTACTGCATACTCTGATCGCCAAGGTCGTAGCTGCACCGAGAACCGCCATGGATGTCAGGTCGGCCGTCGACCAATGCCTCCCACAGATGTTCGGGATTTTTGGGGTTGGGGAGCAACAATTAGGTAATTAGGCTGCGGTGAAGAAGGTTCAAACCAACTGGACGAAGCTTCCCGGGCATGGTTTACGGAGTTTCAATCTATGCAGTAACCATTGAAGGCCTCTTTTCGGCTTGCGAAACCCCGCATCGCGACTTGTTGAGGCCCCTGCAACTTAAAAGGCTTAGGCTGTCAATAAAAACACCCAAAGCCGTCAACAATGACCCCGAACCCGAAGCTCTCCACTGTAAGAGCATCGCCCTAACGGCCCTGATCCATAGCCCCGGGGGCCTGCATTTTGCCACGGCCAGGCGCTTCTCCTGCTCCTGAAACCTGGGCTCCGGTTCCTACGAGAGGCTGTTAATACTGTTGATGATATACATCCTGCATGACCGGAAGGACCCGAAACTATGGGAATTACAGTGTATTCCTTAGTATGGGTAATGCAGGATTTATATCATCAACCGTAATTAGAGCACGTTCCTCCTTTTGGTGCCATTTTAAGGCTCCATCGAAGGTAGCTGGGTTTGGGAGTATACTGCCTATGTATAAGGAACCCTCAGGAATAGCACGTGCTTCAGGTCAGTCGATATTTCTACTCTTCGACCGTGCCGACAGCCCGAACCGTCTGAGTATCATTCAGAGCCAGGCAAGTGATACTTTCAAGCGCTCTAGTGGGATAGGCAAAACAATTCACGGCTGAGGTTAGGAGTTTGGGGTTCAAAGTTTGCAGCCTGGGGCCCGATTAGAGGGTTGGGGGCTCAGCACCTGCTGTCTAGATTTTTATTTTTGTAGACCCTTATGTTCTATAACCCTCGAAAGGGGGGGAGGTTAGATGGAAGCCTGCAAATCTCTGTGCCGCCTCTTCCCTTCATTTTAAGCCCATCTTCCTGAAGCTTCTTAACCGCAGGCCCTGTAATGAAGCTTTAGGGGGTCGCAGTTTGACAATCCCGACAGCTCCCACACCCCTGGTTCCTTGGGCCCTCGCTGGTCCATAACGGCCTCGCGACGCTGCTCGTCCTGCCGGGTTTCAAATCTTATAAAGGAGAAGGCTCTTGGGGGCACTTCGGGTGTATAGGGACTTGGCATACGGCCCTACACTACCCCTTCAGGTTGTCGGTTTCCAGGGGTCTCTGACATGTGTGGTCTGGCAGTTGGCGGCAGAGCTTTACCCGGACATCTCCTGAACAGCTGACAAGCCATCGTCAATCATCTCGTGTCGCCTGGGCGCCAGGGTACTTAAGTAGAAGTTTACTGTCAATCGCAACAGGCGTTTTCGAAATCCGATAAGCCCCGAAACACCCCGGGCGCCAGGAAGACTTCGACTCCGTCGAGTTCGGAACGTCTAAGGGCTCGGCTTCAGACGATCTTGGTGCTCCTGGGCTATCCCATCATGGCCAAAAAACTGCAGCAAAGCTCATGCCCAAAGAAACCCTGAACCGTAAACAATAGAACCTGAAACGCTGCAGCATGATCCTGACCCCAACGCGGATCTTAATCCACCTGCAGGTACTTCGGACAAGAAGAGTCAATCAACATATTCCGTCGTCTTCTGTTTCCTTTTCTGATTGTTATTCTTACTGCGGCTCTTCTTGGTCCAGGCGTCGCGTTCGATGCTCAGCTTGCTGCCCTCCACTGCTGCCTGAGGGTCGGTGGTCGGTGATTGTTTTATCCTTTACGTTCTGAAGAAGTAATTACCACCAGTCTGGTAGCAAGAGTCATGAGCAAAGCAACATCGAACCTGAAAAATCCACATGCTTCGTGCATAGGCGCCAACCATGCCGCACCATGTCGCGGCATCTTAACGCAATTAGCTCCCAAACTACGAGGGTGCGCTTTTAAGCCCAGCCCACAGCCGCACAAAAAGTCGACCGCGGCCTTGAAGTTGGCGGCCTTCTCTGCAAAGCGGTCCGGCACGACGGGTTTCTTGGCGGCAATCGCCTGGAAGGTCTAGCTGTGGATAATATAATATAATATAATATAA